TTGGGTTACCAACTGATTTAAGTGTGTACTTGTTATCATGTCGACAAGAAACTGCGACGAGGGTTTATGGTGTCGACCATATTAAAGTCACCAAAAATGAAAACTTTTTCATGAGCAGCCGTTAAATTGAGGATCAGTTCTATTAGAGTTCTGTCATTATCAATAGAAGTTGAGGAAGGTCTATAGATGCACCCTAGAACAAAACTAGTGGTATTTGTAGTTAATTCTAGAAACAGCGATTCAACGCCACCTAACTCAGTACCAATGTCTTTAATGTGAAATTCTGAGAATATTTGGTCAGCTAAATAGATACAAACTCCGCCTCCTTTACTCCGATTCCGGTCGCTACGGTAAATTGTGTATCCGTCCAAGGCAATGATGCCATCCGGTACTGATGCGGATAACCAGGTCTCTGTCAGTATGATAATAGAAGGTTTATCTTCCTGAACAAACGCATTTAGGTCGTTATACTTTGCCATCAGAGAAGCTATATTAGTGTAAGCTAGTTCTTCGATTTTTCGATTTTTCGACTTTGCTATCTTGGTTTTTTGATTTCTCAGTTTTCCAATTTTTTTATTTCTCAATTTGTGGATATTTCTTTCAGTTTTGGGATTTTACAATATTTTGATTCTTTGACTTTTCAATTTTTCGACTTCTGGATTTTTAGATTTTCCGAATTTTTAAATTTTCGATTTTTCAATTTTTTTTATTTTTAACTGTTCGATTTTCCCATTTTAGCCTATTTCTCAATTTTTCGATTCCTCGATTTCTCGATCTTTTGATTTTTCAATGTTTCGATTTTTCGATGTTTCGATTTTTGAATTAGGTATCAGATTTTTCAATTTTCCAATTTTTTTAATTTTCGAATTTCCATTGTTAATTTTTTAGTTTTTCGATTTTTAAATTTTAGATTTTTAGATTTTTCATTTCTTCAAGATTTTTTAATTTTTCAAATTTTGACGTTTTTGAATTTTCGGTTTTCCGATTTCTCAATTAATCAATTTTTTGATTTTACCATTTCTCGACTTCCCGACGTTTCGATTTTTCAGTTCTTTACTTCTTCAATTTTTCGATTTTTCAGTGTTTTGATTTTTTAAGTTTGCGATTTTTCGACTCTTCAGTTTTTCAATTCTTCTATTTTTCAATTATTCGAGATTTCAGTTTTGGGATTTTATAAGATTTCGATCTTTCGATTTTTCGAGTTCTGGACGTTTCGATTTCTCGACTTTTTACTTTTTGGATTTTCAATTTTTCGTTTTTTAAACTTTCGGTTTTTCAATTTTTCGACTGTTTTATACTTCGTTTTCTCCATTTTTCAACTTTTCACTTTTTAAAATTTCAGGTCTTCCTATTTCTCGAGTTTTCAGTTCTTCTGTAGTTCAATTTTTCGAATTTTTAAATTTTCGAAGTTGCCAATCTTTCCTTTTTCAAATTTTTCGATTTTTAATTTTTTGATTTCCTGATTTACCAATTTTTCAATTTTCAACTTTTCTTCTCGGCTTTCCACTCTTCATTTCTCTATCTTCTGATTTTTTGATTTCTCGATGTCTCAGTTTTTGAATTTTTCGATGTTTCGATTTTTGGATTTCTCGGTTTTTCGATTTTTAATTTGGGATTTTCAATTTTTCGATTTTCCGATGTTTCGATTTTTCAGTTATCTGATTTTTCAACTTTTCAAATTTTGACTTTACTAAATATTTAGTTTTCCAATTTCTCAATTAATCTATTTTTCCATTTCTCGAAGTTTCGATTTTTCAGTTCTTCAATTCTTCGATTTTTCGATTTTTCGACTTTGCTTTCTTGGTTTTTTGATTTCTCAATTTTCCAATTTTTTAATTTCTCAATTTGTTGCTGATATTTCTTTCAATTTTTCGATTTTTCGACTTCCGGATTTTTCAATTTTCCGAATTTTAAAATTTTCGGTTTTTCATTTTTTTCCATTTTTAACTTTTCGATTTGTCGATTTTGTCCTATTTCGGTTTCTCAATTTTTCGATTCTTCGATTTCCCGATCTTTTGATTTTTCGATGTTTCGATTTGTCGGTTTCTCGATGTTTTACTTTTCGACTTTTCGATTTTTTGATGTTTCGATTTTTGAATTATGTATCCGATTTTTCAATTTTCCAATTTTTTTAATTTTCGAGTTTCCAATGTTAATTTTTTAGTTTTTCGATTTTTAAATTTTAGGTTTTTCGATTTTTCATTTCGTCAATATTTTTTAATTTTTCAAATTTTGACGTTTTTGAATTTTCAGTTTTCCGATTTCTCAATTGATCAATTTTTTGATTTTACCATTTCTCGACTTCCGAAAGTTTCGATTTTTCAGTTCTTTACTTCCTCAATTTTTCGATTGTTCAGTTTTTTGATTTTTTAAGTTTTCGATTTTTCGACTCTTCAGTTTTTCAATTCTTTTATTTTTCAATTATTCGAGATTTCAGGTTTGGGATGTTATAAGATTTCGATCTTTCGATTTTTCCAGTTCTGGACGTTTCGATTTCTCGACTTTTTACTTTTTGGATTTTCAATTTTTCGTTTCTTAAACTTTCGGTTTTTCAATTTTTCGACTATTTTATACTTCGTTATCTCCATTTTTCAACTTTTCACTTTTTAAAATTTTAAGTCTTTCGATTTCTCGAGTTTTCAGTTCTTCTATATTTCAATTTTTCAATTTTCCGAATTTTTAAATTTTTGACGTTCCCAATTTTTTCTTTTTAAAATTTTTCGATATTTTAATTTTTTGATTTCTCGATTTATCAGTTTTTCAATTTTCAACTTTTCTTCTCGGCTTTCTGCTCTTCATTTCTCCATCTTCTGATTTTTTGATTTCTCGATGTCTCAGTTTTTGAATTTTTCGATGTTTCGACTTTTGGATTTCTCTGTTTTTCGATTTTTTAATTGAGCCTTTTCAATATTTCGATTTTCCAATTTTTCGATTGTTCGATTTTTCATTTATCTGATTTTTCAATTTTTCAAATTTTGACGTTTCCCAATTTCTCAATTAACCTATTTTTGATTTTCCCATTTCTCGAATTTTCGAAGTTTCGATTTTTCACTTCTTCAATTTTTCGATTTTTCGATTTTTCGACTTTGTTTTCTTGGTTTTTTGATTTCTCAATTTTCCAATATTTAATTTCTCAATTTATGGATATTTCCTTCAGTTTTGGGATTTTCCAATATTTTGATTCTTAGACTTTTCGATTTTTCGACTTCTGGATTTTTCAATTTTTCGAATTTTTAAATTTTCAATTTTTCCAATTTTTCAATTTTTTCCATTTTTAACTTTTCTATTTTTCGATGGTTTACTTTTCGGCTTTTCGATTTTTTGATGTTTCGATTTTTGAATTATCCAGTTTTTCAATTTTCCATTTTTTTAAATTTTCGAGTTTCCATTGTTGATTTCTCAGTTTTCGATTTTTAAATTTTAGATTTTCGAATTTTTATTTTTATTGACTGTTTCGATTTCTCCACTTTTCAATTTTACGATATTTAAATTTTCAATGTTTTAAATTTTAGATTTTTAGATTTTTCAATTTTGCATTTCTTCAAGATTTTTTAATTTTTCAAATTTTGACGTTTCTGAATTTTCCGATTTCTCAATTAATCTATTTTTTGAATTCCCATTTCTCGACTTACAAATTTTCGAATTTTCAGTTCTCCAGTTCTTAAATTTTTGGATTTTTCAGGTTTTTGAGTTTCCAATTTTTCCATTTTTTAATTTTATGATTTTTCGACGTTGCTTTTTTGACTTTTCAACTTCCCAATTTTTCAGTTTTTTAATTCCCTTATTTTTGGATATTTCGTTCAATTTTGTGATTTTTCAGTTTTAGACTCTTCAATTTTTCTTCGATTTTTCAATTTTTCAATATTTCAATTTCTCGAATTTTTACGTTTTGGATTTTCAATTTTTCGTTTTTTAACGTTTACAATTTTTGGAATATTTTACACTTCGATTTCTCATTTTTTCAACTTTTCGCCAAAGAATCAATCTCTCAATTTGTGAAATTTTTCGACTTTTTTCTAGATATTGTCGAAAATTCCTAAAATAATTTGTTTTATTAATATCGACTCCATAAGTTTTTGCTTCCCCATTTCTACGAAATAAACTATCATTTTAACAGAATTCTCAAAATATGGTAAATTTTAAGATGCCTGCATTTAACATCAATTTTGTTGCCATCTTTTTGTATTAGAAATATCCAGAGATTTACGAATCATTAGATGAAAATAAATCTTCGATCCCCAATTATCTCGTGCTTTAATGTTCCGAAATCGCCATTCTTGTACTTATTATCATTATTCTGTTTGACGTTTTTCCAGGCAGAGCCATCCACATGAAAATGCGAAATTAATAAGAAAAACCCTTGTAGGCTATTTTCCTCGGGACTGATATTAAAACCGTAGGATTTATTCTGAGATTTATCTTTGTTCGCGTCAAGGTTAACGTGGGAGGACTTTATAACTTACATAATAGATATCTCCCTAAAATTCTTAAGCGTGAAATTTTAACGACCCTGCTTTTGAACAATATTTTATGGTCCTCATACTACATGCCATTTAAAATTTATTACATCATTTTCTGACACGAATTTGATCGAAACGGAAAGACGATTTCGAAGAGCAGAGACATTCGTGCTTACACACCAAATTTTAACCAATCGGGTTAGCGGTCTGACCCAGATTTAACCCCATCTTGTTAGATTTTTGTATTTTAAATTGGTTTTATAACGATTGATCGCGAACGAGGTCGAGCATTCTTCGTGGCTGCTTGTACGTGTTTGCTCAATAGTCTTCGCTCTGTTCTCAACCTAATTAATTTCACTGTATTTTCGGTAAATATGTGAACTATTATTTTATAAACAGCACGTTCTAGCTAGATGCGAAATAAAGTCGAAGGAACGCCGATTCGGAAAGCCCTTAAAGAGATTCCTTATTTCTGTTGTAACCCTTCTTTTGCATTGTTGTGCAGCCAAGTATGCTAAGACTTCGGCCTTTTGATTTCAGTGTCTTCTCGAAGTAAGTTGCGCCGACAATGCCTCAGATCTTCGAGGAACCAGATTGTTCAACAGACCTGAAACTTGCATAATGGGAAAGAGATTTATTCCGCTTTGTATAAATACAGGTAGGAGATATAAAAACAAATATTATGAAGGGCGTTTTGGCAGCGTTTGCATTCTTTCGTGTACAGTCGGATCGCTGAGGAAATTTTTGCTTGAATTAATACTAACAAATTTTTGTTTTATTCATACTCGGACGGAAAGATTCTAGAGCTGACTGCGAGACCCAAATTAAATTTATTAAATTAAATTTATTAGCTCTCAAAATCGTTATACGGAATAAATTTGCATTCATGATTTAATGTCTGCTTTTAAATTGTTGTCTTAGTTTAAATTTATTTTGATGAAATTTGTAAATGACGCCTGTGAACTACTTCAAACGGAAATATTTACCAATGAAATTATTAAAATTTTTGAATTTTGCAATTAAGTTTCCGAGTTTGTGAAAATCACGTTATTATATTGTGTTCTATCAAAAACATCAAAGCAGTTGTTTCCATTTTCGTTTACCTTTTTTCAGTCTCTCGTGATTGCGTTACTTCGAACCTAAAGTTTTCCCTTTTCATCGAGACGGTTTCCAAAACTCTGTGACCATTCATTTTCACGACATAGAAATTTGTGAATGGCAAAAGTATGAGCTTTTTCCGATTTTATTTTCCTTATACTTTGAAAAACTTGCTAGCTAATATTTAAAACTCATTTTTCGTCTTACCTATGCTACAAATATTGCTATTCTGGATTTAAAATGTTGTAAAATCGTTTTTATATTTTGAATTGTTTCAAAATTCTAAAATTTAAGATAAGAGGTTACTACAAAATTCGTTCGAGAGCGCCAAAAAAATTTACAAATTTTTTTGTGTGATTATTTTTTAGTTGTAAATAACTTTGTTGCTACACACAATCTTACTACAGATCATAAAAGTAAAAATCGGTGCTGAAATAATTTTTTCCAAAGAATTTTACCTCAGTTATTCATTGTTAGCTGTTGAAGTGTTTTTCAATGTCTTGATTTTCGTCTTTTCGATTTTTTGCTTTTTTTTAATTTTTCATTATTTATGTAGATATTTTAATTTTTTGTTATTCAATTTATAGGTTTTTTAACACTTCGAGATTTGATTTTAAACTTTTGAATTTTTAGATTTTTCAACTTTTGAATTTTTCTAATTTTCGAGTTTTTGTTTTTTCAGTTCTGCAATTATTCGATTTCTCGATTTTACTATTTTTCGAATTTTCAATTTCTCGATTTTTAATGTTTAGATTTTTAATATTTAATTTTTCAACTTTTCGATTTTTCAGTTTTTCGTTCCTTCAGATTTACAATTGTGCCAATTTTCGACTCTCCTGGTTAAAGACATTTTAATTTATTTTTAATCGAAATTCGTTTTTAAATTCTTCATTTTTTTTAATTTTAAATTTTCCATTTGTTCCATTTTTCCTTTTTTAATTTTTCGATCAGCACTTTTTCTTGTTTTCATTTTTAAGTTTAAAATTTTCCAACTTTTCTTTTCCTGAGCATTTCGATTTGTCAGTTTTTAGATATTTTTAATTTTGGTTTTCAATTTGAGAAGTTTTCGAAATTTTAATTTTTTGTTTCTTCAAGTTTTCGATTGTAATTTTTGAATTATTTTATTTTCCAATTTTATGAATTTTCAAGTTTTAGATATTTTGATTTTTCGTTTCTTCACTGCTACAATTTTGAAGTTGTAGATTTTTAATTTTTAGATTTTTCAGTATTTATGTAGGTATTTTAATTTTTCGTTAATCAATTTATGGTTTTTTCAACAATTCGAGGTTTGATTTTCAGTTTTTCAATTTGTCAACTTTCCAATTTTTGAATTGTTCAGATTTTCATGTTTTCAGTTTTTCAGTTCTGCAATTGTTCGATTTTTCAATTTTACCATTTTTCAACTTTTCATTTTTTCGATTTTAAATTTTCAGATATTTTTTCAAATTTCCGACTTTTCAATTTTTCGTTTCCTCAAATTAACAGTTGTGCAAATTTTCGATTCTTCAGTTTTTAGACATTTTAATTTGTCGTTTTTTAAATTTATCGATATATACTTCGAAATTCATTTCTAAATCCTTCGATTTTTCAATTTAATTTTTTTTTTTATTTTTGGTTTCTGTATGTTTTCGTTTTGCAACATTTTGATTTTTAAGTTTTTTGATATTTTAATTCTATTGTTTAGATTTCTATTATACAATTTTTTGAATTTCTTATTCGATTTTTGAGGTTTTAATTTCTCGATTTTTCAACTTTTGAATTTTTCAATTTTTGGATTTTTGGTTTTTTAGACTTTTGGATTTGCGATTTTTCAAATTTTCGATGATAAAATTTGTTCAGTTTTTTATCTTCAAGTTATTCATATTTCAATTTTTGATGCTTTCATTTGCTGTTTACCCAAGTTTTCAATTTTGCAATTTCGCTATAGTTGGATATTACAATTTTGAAGTTTTTCAATTTGTCAGATTTTTGAAAATTCAATTTTTCGAGTTTTTATTTTTAAAGTTTTGAATTTTTTAATTGTTCAATTCTTCGGGTTTTTAGTTCGTAACTTTTAGTTTTTCAGCTTTGCATTTTTTCCCCATTTTAATTTTTCAATATTTGAATTTTTCAAGTTCTTCATTTTACAATTTTGCAGTTTTTCAAATTTTTGAATTTTTCATTTGCTCAATTTTTTCTTTCTTCAATTTTTCGAGTTTCCATTTTTAAATTTTCGGTTTTCCAATTTTTCTTTTCTTCAGCTTCAGATATTTTTATTTTTGGTTTTTCAAATTAGGAATTTCCGAAATTTTAATTTTTCACCTTTTTAACTTTTGGTTTCTTAAATTTTTCGATTGATTTTTGAATATTTTATTTTACGATTTTTTGATTTTTGCAATTTTCAGATATTTTAAGTTTTCGTTTTTTCAGTGCATCGATTTTGAAGTTCTAGATTTTTAGTTTTTCGATTTTGGTTTTTCAATTTCTCAATTTCAATTCGACTTTTTTATTTTACAGTTTTTCGATTTTTCACTTTTCACAGATCTGAATTTTTGATTTCTTTGGTTTATCGACATTTCAACATCTCGAGTTTTCAATATAAATTTCCCAATTTTTTGATTGTTCAACCTTCATTATTCAATTCTTCGTTATTTCAACTGAATTTTTTCAATTTTTAGAAATTTTAGTCTTCCGATTTTTCAATCTTTCGTTTCATCAGTTTTTCAGTTTTACAAGTTTCCGTTTTTAAAGTTTCGATTTTCAATTTTTATTTTTTTCGGGTTTAAATTTTTTAGTTTTCGGTTTTTCAAATTAAGAATTTTCGAAGTTTTAATTATTCTTTTTTTTTAACTTTTAGTTTCTTCAATTTTTCGATTGATTTTTGAATTTTTTTATTTCACAATTTATTGTTATTTTGATTTTTGGTTTTTTTCAGTGTATCGATTTTGGATTTCTAAATTTTTATTTTTCGATTTTGATTTCTTAGTTTTCCGTTTATTCAATTTTTCAATTTCAATTCGAATTTTTTATTTTACAATTTTACGAGATATCACTTTTTAACAAAACGAACTTTAATTTTTCGTTGCTTCATTTTATCGATTTTTCAACATCTCGAGTTTTCACTATAAATTTTCCAGTTTTTTGAATTTTCAGCTAGTAAATTTTCAATTTTTCGTTATTCCAACTTTTTAATTTTTTCAATTTTTAGAAATTTTAATCTTTCGATTTTTCAGTTTTTCGTTTCATCAAGTTTTCGGTTTCGATTTTTTAACTTTTTTATTTAAAATTTTTTAGATTTTTCAATTTTGAGATATATATTTTGATTAGATATTCGTTTTTTTAAATTCATTGATACTGAAATTGTATATTTTTAATTTTTCATTTCTTCAGTTTATCTCTTTTACAATTTATCAATTTTCCATGTGTTCGATCAGCAATTTTTCAAGTTTCCCTTTTTCAATTTTCGATTTTCCAATTTTCTTTTCTTCAGATTTAGATATTTTTGTTTTCAGTTTTTCAAATTGGCAATTTTCAAAATTTTTGTTTCTATTTTTTAACTTTTGGTTTCTTCAATTTTTCGACCGATTTTTGCATATTTTTATTTTACAATTTTTTGGTTTTTGAATTTTTAGATATATTGATTTTTCGTTTTTTCAGAGCATCGATTTTTAAGTTCTAGATGTTTAATTTTTCGATTTTGGCTTTTCAGTGTTTCGTCTCTTCTATTTTTCAATTTTTATTCGACTTTTTTATTTTACAATTTTTCGACATCTGAAGTTTTCGATATAACTTTTCCAATTTTTATTTTATTTGTCAACTTGTAAATTTTCAATTTTTTGTTATTTCAACTTTTGAATTTTTTCAATATTTAGAAATTTTAATCTTTCGATTTTTCAGTTTTTCGTTTCATCAATTTTTCGGTTTCCATTTTTGAACTTTTTTATTTTAAAATTTTTCTATTTTTCAGTTTTGAGATATTTTAAGTCGATATTCGTTTTTTCAACTCATTGATTCTGAAGTTATAGTTTTTCAATTTTTCATTTCTTCAATTTATCTGTTTTTCAATTTATCGTTTTTCTATTTGTTCGCTCAGCAATTTTTCAAGTTTTCGTTTTTAAATTTTAGATTTTCCAATTTTCTTTCCTTAAGGTCTAGATATTTTTATTTTCGGATTTTTAAATTGGGAATTTTCGAAATTTTAATTCTTCTATTTTTTAACTTTTGGTTTTGTCAGTTTTTCGATAGATTTTTTTTTATTTTTTTATTTTACAATTTATTGATTTTTGCAATTTTTAGATATTTTGAGGTTTCGTTTTTTTCAGTGCATCGATTTTGGAGTTCTAGATTTTTAATTTTTCGATTTTGATATTTCAGTGTTTCGTTTCTTCGATTTTTCAATTTTAATTCGACTTTCTTATTTTACAATTTTTAGATTTTTCACTTTTCGCAAATTTGAATTCTTCGTGTCTTCATTTGATCGATTTTTCAATATAAATTGTTTTTTAACAATTTTTCGAGTTGCCCATTTTAAAGTTTTGAATTTTTCAATTTTTCACATCTCTAGGTACTGGAATTGAATCT